TGAATTATACTAATATAATAATTAATTTATTATTATATATGTATATATACATATATAATATGTATATATATATATAGTTTTAATTTTAGAGTTGTAATTTTGTTTTGTGCATTTGTCATATATATATATATATATATATATATATATATATATATATATATATATTTCTCTCTCTCTTTTTTTTTTTCTCTTTTAAATTGCATGTGCCGAATTTAGCACAATCTATTTGACATCATAAAGTAATTCCTAAGTTTGTCTTGAACAATAAATGTGTTTTTAAAAAAGCACCAGGAAGTATTATTGAAAATACACTTTCATTTATTCACAACCTGTAGAAGTAATCAGTTAGTGTTGTAAATTTGATTGTACATCCATCAAATCTAAAAACATAAACATTTATAAACAGATACTTTATATAGGCCGTTGCTTCCAGGAGCGATGTTCGTTTAAGCATTCAGCTTACATGTTATAAACGTACAGAAATAGTTTTCATTCGTTTTGTTGTAATTTACAAATGCTTTCATTTAGGGGCATAATTAGGGTCTCGGCAGTTTTTCTCTTTAGTAAAGACAACTTGTTAGACAACAGATTTGCTGCGGCCTGTTTTATACATGCAAAGTCAATTACAATTTAAAAATTCGCTACAGAGATCAAATTACAACAGCATAGACGCATACATTTACTAATTACAAAACGAAGAAAGTGGACGTAAAAACAATAGGTAGGGCTACAGTTTTTTTCAGCATTCACCTTTTGGAGGATTTGGGAGTGTCACATAGGAATGTACCACTGAGTGGGCAATTGGGCAGTTGGGGTGGTCTTCAAGTTAGTTTTCCTTCCCTTTTCCTTTCTTCTTCTCGCCTCCCTTGGGTTTGGGGGTCTTTGGGGTGCAAGGTTTGGACACTTTAATGGTGGTCTGGCATTCAGCGTTGAACAGTGCCTTCTTCAATGTCCCAGACCTGCTTCTGGTTCCTGTAGTAGTGTCACATTCGGCCCAGCGACCAAACTTGTACTTGCAGTCAGCTAAAAACCAAGAACAAACTAGAATGAATGGCCTGTCTAAATATATTTTTCTTTGATTCACATCCAGACATGCATTCGACGTATTCATACATGGTAAAACTCCTTACCGCCAAAGTCTTTCTTCCAGTTGCATGGGACTTTGCACTTGGTTTTCTTTGTCTGTTCGTTGCAGGTCGCCTCCCGAATGCCAGCGCCGCAGTCGCCGCTGTTGGGCACGCATTTCCCATACTGCCATTCACTGCACTCAGCATCTGCTTTGGGCTCTTTGCCCTTTTCTGTCACAAAATAGAGAATTATTATTAATGGTACCACACCAAAGGAATGTGCAGTGCATCATTTTAATTGGAAAAAAAGAACCTTTTTTCTTCATACTGGCTTCCACGGTGATCATCAACACCACCAGCAGCACAAGTGCTATAGAGAATAAACTCCGCATTCTGGGAAAAAATATAGCTGACATTAATTTCAGTTCAATTATGTGCTTGTAATGTGCTTTTGTCATTTTTATATTTTTTTATATTTAATATTTGTTATTTACTATTTTATATATATATATATATATATATATATATTTCTATTTAGCTTTTTTTATTTCAATTTTAGTTTATAAAAAGGTAGTAATTTAATTTATAAAAATATATATAAATATTTCAGCAAATATTTATATAATTTGACTTCAGCTTTATTTAAATGATTTTTTTTTATATAGTTTTGGTTTTAGTTAACAATAACACTGAATGCTGCAGTGTTTTTGTAAGGTTAAGGAAATATATTAATATATTACTATTTGCTTTTCAGATCATCTCCACGCCAATTGAAGTAGCCATTGAGGATATGCAGAAGAAGACACAGGAGCTGGCTTTTGCAACTCATCAGGACCCATCTGATGCCAAAATGTTACAGATGGTTCTGCAGGGGTCTGTTGGCACCACTGTTAACCAGGTGACTAGTTGAGCCTGTTCACTTAATAATACATATGCAGTATCACTGTTGTCTCCTGGATAAATTTGAGCATTTTAATGACACAGTAATGGTACATAACTCATTATCTGGAAATTCAACCCCCAGAATGTGTATTATATTTCATTGCCATGTAGTAGTGCCCATTATTTGAATAATGTAGTTACTTAAATACTTAAAACACACACACACACACATTTATAGAAAAGTGAATAGTAATGTATTAATATCTTTCCTTAACCTTACGAATATATATATATATAAATTATATTAGAATATTATATAAATAATATAAAATTAAAGATATAAATTATTATTCCTAAATTCATGTCCACATAGTTTTTCAGGTAGCTTTGCAGATAGGTTTCTTGAAGCGTCTTTGGAGATGTTGCCACAGTTCTTCTAGATTTAGTTTCTTCTGTCTCATTCCAGACGGACTGGATGATGTTGAGATCAGATCTCTGTGTGGAGCACTGGCTGTCGTCAGACTCCTTGTGCTTACAAAAATCTCACTGGATTATTACAATTAATGCAAAAGGAATGTTTGGAAATGTAAACAGATTTCCTACTGACACACTACAGCAAAAGATAGAATTTTTTTAATGTTTGTAAAAATACTTATGGCCTAAGACTTTTGCACAGTACTGTGTGTGTGTGTGTGTGTGTGTGTATATATATATATCTATTTGGGCATTACTGCACAGCCAAGTATCAGTGCAAACTGCGTGATGAAAGAGTCAGTGGTGAAATTAGTAAATAATTTGAATGATTCTAACCAATGCATGTATTATACTTCTCAACAGGGCCCTCTCGAGGTGGCCCAGGTGTTTCTGTCTGAGATCCCTAGTGATCCTAAACTCTACAGGCACCATAATAAACTACGACTGTGCTTCAAAGACTTCACAAAGAGGTTTGATTCCAGATGCTCTCACACTACATTAACTAATAACCCTAGTGACTTTTTACATCACATTAATCATGAAATATTACAGTATGTACACAGGTCAACTATTATGCCAAAAAGAACTGGTTTATTGCAGTCCATGTAAATGTTGCTGCTTTTGTATGGTTGTATGCCAAGTTATTTTAATTGTTAAATGGTAACAATACAGCGGTCAGTAATACAATCAGAACTTGGAATTGCCTACATGGAAAAATGCCATGTGACATTTGAACTGACTTCCCTTCAAGGGACTTTAATTAAACCCTGTAATCTTCAATAACCCCCCCCCCCTAGATGTGAAGATGCCCTTCGTAAAAATAAGAGTCTGATTGGCCCAGACCAGAAAGAGTATCAGAGGGAGCTGGAGAGGAACTACCACAGATTGAAAGAAGCTCTGCAGCCTCTCATTAACAGGAAGATCCCACAACTCTACAAACCTGTGTTACAGGTCAACTCACACAGGTCAGACAATTACAATTGTCAAAAGCTGTTAAGAATGTCCTGTATACATCACCTTGTGCCCGATAAACTAGCTTACTGCAAGAACTTGGTTTACCAAACTAACGTTTGAATGAATGGTGGGAGCTGCCCCCTCAAGTCTTAATATTTTCATTAATATTTTAGTAATACATCATCAAATGGTTCACTGTAAAGCACACATTTGTTAAGAGTTTTTAATATGAAAGCAAAATTGTCATTTAAATTGTAACGCAAATATTGCAGAATGAATAGAAATTCCATCATTGAATCCAATTGAATTGAGGCCTTGTGAATTATAAAACTACAAGTCAGGAAATGGGCCTTCATAGCCTGGTCTATTTTGTGAAATACGTCAACAGCAATGTATGATTAGTTGGTTGCTCATAATGTTTGACACATGGATAAACTTCGTGTTACATAATTTTCCAAAAAGGTGTTTTAAATGTACTTAATTTCTTTTTTTCCGTTTTAACAAGCAGCAAAAGGACAGCTTGAGAAGGTAGTCAAGTTGTTCGCAAGCATATTTAAAAAAACAAAAAAAACTGTTGTTGACCATTAAAGTTTAATCCTTTTATAACATTAAAGTTTTTCTTTTTCTTTCAGAGACTCTTTTAGCAGAATGAGCCTTCGCAAGCTAGACGTGTGAAGACTGAAGAAATAAAAAGAACAAATGCCGTTTTATTTATTTGTATATATCAATCCTCCTCACAATATCAGTGTTTCTGCCATAAAGTAAAAAAAAAAAAAAGAGATAAGTGTTAAGACATTTGGTACATCATTCCAATTTTGTATTCGTTTACAAAATGGCCTGTTACATGATCATAAGAACTGATGATGAATTTAGCATACAATGTGTCAAACGTATTCAATTACTGTGTGCACTTTTTATTTAATTTTTTTTTACTTCATCCCAGTGCATTTGTAATACTTACGGTACAACTTAAGAGTTTATTTAATCCTTACGGAAAAAGCAAAAAAGGTGATGAATTTTTTTTCAGCATTATGTACCTTTTGTTTACTTTAAATATTTTACTAAATAAATACTCTTAATAGCCATTCCAGTGTGTTGTTAAAGAAACTGCATCAAGACTTTTATATGTTGGTGTTTTAATGTGGTAAGAATCTACATTACCTGGTAATAGAAAAATATTTACATTTTCCCTGCCTCCTCAAATATACAACAGAACACCACAGAACATAAGAGATTCTTGTGAATTCTTATTTATTGCTCATAGAGATCTTACTGTAAATGGCAGGTCCTTCTCACAACATGGGAAAGAAAAGCTTCTTAGACTGGACTGAGGTATGACTGATAAACTATAAAACTAGAAAAATAGGTCACTTTTATCCCTGTGGTCATTTATAGGCAATTAATACACTGTACTTGCGAGGTTGACCACCTTTAAAACTAAATTTGATTATCTGTGTGCAAATAGTCTGCAGCGGGGAAACCAAACACATTGGCTGTGCCATCTAGTATTAAAAAAATTAAGAGATCAACGTGAAATCTACTTTGGTTTTATAAGCTATTAATACCTTCCAAAACAGGGACATCAAAAATGTGAAATCATATGAGACAAAACCCAAACAATTAAAAAAATATATAAAATTTCAGTGCACAAGAAATCATTGTGCTATTTCATAGAGCTTCTATGGAATGCTTGAAAGTATAAGAAAACTGTAATATGCACTACGATAAGTGCCAAGGTGCATTTGCATGAGGGTCACTGAAAAGCAGATGACATGAACTTACTGAACAAGAAGAGAGAGTAAAGTACAAAAACAGTAATAGACACAAAAAATGGCAACAAATGTCATTGCCTTGAAAGATTCACATCGGCTTTTCACTGACTGACACGTTACACAAACGTGCATATCGACTATTAACGCGTCTCGACTTGCTTTTTCAGTTACCTGCAAACATACTTTCATAGTCCATGTCTTACCAGTAAAACTTAGTAATTGAGTGGAGTTTCCATATCCAATCAGCTGTTTTTACTGAGAGACTCTCTTGTAGAAGAGCAGGTATGGTGTAGAGGTGGAGCATGTCTCGGGGGAACAGGCTCTGAGGAAGTCCTCTTCTTCAACGAGTCTCACTTCAGAGTCATCAAACAGCATCCACTTTCCCTCAAAGTCCAAAAGGTTTCGCAGAGCGAGGTCAAAATTCACCTGGGTCCCATCGCCCACAGCATCAACTCCCTCTTCCTCGGTCGGTTTCTTCACTGCGTTCTGAAGCAGAGAACCAGCGGCACGACTGGCTAAGCTGGAAGCCTTCTCTGGATTGGATTGACTGCTGTTGCTGAGCTCATAACTGGTGACGCTCCTCTGTCCTCCTAAAAGCCCAACACCCTCAGAGCACCTTTTGCTTCCCGATTTACTGGACATGCTTGTTGCACTGGCTCTGGCCACATTTCGCCCCCTGCCAGACAAGCTGAAAGACACCTCACCATCATCGTACTCTGTTTGAGGTACCTCTTCTTTCTTAGGTTTCATGTCTTCTTCTCGGTCTCGGTCTTGCTCTTCATCCTGAGACTGAAGCCTGAGAGTGGTGCGATGGAGATCCATCATGCGGATGTAAGTGGTGTAGTGACCACTGCTGATGGTTACTCCGCTGTGCATGACCACGGCAAAGAGCTCATAGTGATGGCTCTGGTCTGGAGAATCAGGCTGAGTGCACCACTCATGCAGAGCAAGTTTGAGAGGGGTCTGCAGAGGAGTATTCACCTTGGAAAGGCCAGCATAAGGGTCCATCCTAAAGAGTGAAGATGATTTTACCAGCTTCTTAATGCACATTGGTAACTTTAACAAAACCAAATAAAATATTTTGCCTCAAGTTGCGCTATTTCTGACTTTTTCTGTTGTAACAAAAAAAAGGTGGGCAATAAAAATTGGTTTGAAGTTGCCAGCTTTGGCCATTGGGGGGCACACTGATTTGAGTTTTTCTTGATTTAGAAATGCTAAATCCTAAACATTTTCACCCTGATTTCTCTGTGTTTTAATGTTTTCTTTATTTTTTTTCTTCTGCTGTAATAAACAATGGAAACAGACTCAGGGGGGCAATTTACTGTGTCCTACAGGGCTTCCATAGTTGAAAGATCGGAACGAAGCATTAAAATCAGAAGAAGATACATACTCAGAGCCATTGGCAGCAAAGCATTTCAGGTGGATTGTGATGACTTCTGGTGTTTTGTCAAACAAAAGACTTCTCTCAGCTTCTGTGTAGTGATGACAGGTCTCACAGAAATATTTATCTTGACCCACAATCCGCTCCACAGATGCAAATTGAGATATGGCCCACTTTAGAGTTTTCAGCTCAGGCTTGGGATCTGGAGAAACTGAAAAAGGAGAATACCGTAATAAAATTATCTAACCAGCATCCGAGAGTGTTGACTGATAGACAAACACAGATGGATTCAAACACTGTCAATAGCCGCTTTTCCACTGTTGGGCCAGTGCGAGCCAGTGCTTTAAACGAGCCAGACCATTAAAACCCGCCCTTTACATGCCTCTCAGGAACAATGTCACGCAACCCCATCATTTCACCAACAAAGAGAACTTATCAGAAAACTAATAAGAAATAAGTCACTGGAACTAGCGCGATCACAAAACGAATATGATAAAAGCGGCCATTTGTTTGCATACTTTGTTAAAAGATTTAAATCCAAAAGCATCGATGTCTTATAATAAGTGATACATTGATCACAATGAATTAATTGATCAGGATTGAAAATTAGTCACACAGAAATAAAGCGGTATGAATATAGCCTATCTACTTATTCAGTCGAGTCTGTTTATTTGTAGTCACGGTATATACACATCACATTTAGAAAGAATTATAATTTCTATATTTTTATAAAAGTTCCCGAACAAAAACCATTATTATATTTTTATGACATCCGCGGAGCTAAACTCTCGAGACGAGACTTATGACAGATAAAATACGGCTACCGATCACTATAGGCCGATAATCACATTGGGATGATTGATCGGCGGTCTCAAGCTGATGACGCTGCTGTGAGAGGTTTGGCACGACATGCAGCGGCACCGTCTCAGTCTCTGTCCAGCGCGGGTGAATAACTTACAAAGTAATTTGAAAACCTCATGTGAGATGTAATTTCACAAACAGTGTGAGTGATTCACCGCGCACACTCTCTCTTTCTCTCTCAAAATACGCAAATGGCTTCAAATCACCACACATCATGTCTGTCCTGTAGACCATGCGCTCATTCACACTTGCAGCGCACACACATAATGCCAGGTTCACATTACTCTGTTTGCAGTGCGTGGTATGTGGTGCGTATTTTTTCCGCGCTCATGTTAACGGATTAAAGCATTCACACTGCACACGGCAGTGCGTTCAGGAGCGGTGCGTCTGCAGCAGTGCAGAGATCGTTTCCTCACCGAGTCTGTTTGCTGTGATACACGCGCTGAATTAAAGTGACAGCACATTGTTTGCAGTGCATATGAAAACGAAAATGTAGCAATTGCACCATAAATGCATTCAATTAAAGTATACTGTCTTTCACAGTCAACACATATGGCTTGTTGGCTAGTTTTAAAGGAAAAAAGCACTTTTAGATAAACAAGGCAATAATAGATGCACTGGTGGAGGTAGGAAAAAGTTCTTTATGAACCGCAGGATTGCTTGTAATAAAGATTTCAATGCAAAAATGAAATAGAGCTGACTATTTCGGTCAACGGTAAGTTTGTGATAACATAAGAAAAGTAGTTTAAATGTTTTGTCACTTGCTTGAGCAACTTAAAATATAAATCTAGAATTAAATGCAAAAGTAAAAAGCATTGAATGATGTGTTGCTTATATTTATTGCGTTTAAACATGTATGTGAAAGATTGCATTACTGTACTGTGTAAAAAAAGAATTGCAATGCTGAAAAAGCATTTTCAGTGACAATGTTTGGATTTGAAATCAAAATAATGGAATGATTATAATTAGAGCCCGACCAATATATCGTTTTGCCAATATTATCAGCCGATATGAGCCTGTTGCCGATATATCATATCGGCGAATATGCCGCAGATTTAAAAATTTTTTTTACAGAACACATAACGCAGAGAAAATGCTTGAAATGGTGTAATTACTTAGTTTGTCCAGCAGAGCGCGCTCCGTTGTTTGCTACTGGCGACCTGGATGATACGCTTTAAAGCTTAGTCTATGGAAAACCATTGAAACTTTGAACGGCCATATCTCCGTAACGGCGCTGCGAATCCGCACCAAATTCGGGGGATCCCTTCAGCTCGAGGAACCCTCTCGAACGCAAATCGAGTGTACGTCTAGAGGCCCACTTTCGAATGAGACCACCCCCGCGTCGATAGCCCCCGGGGTTCGGTAGTTACGGGTGGCTAAATTCGGCGCAGACTGATCAAGCGATCCCGGGGGGCTACCGACACGCGGAGGGTGGCATTCGTGAGGGCTCATCGAGCTGAAGGGATCCCCCAAATTTGGTGGAGATCCGATGGCGCGTTCGCGAAATAGTGACACCAATCAACACTTTCACTTTAGTAAAGAGGTCTCTTGTTCAGGCAGCAGCATTCAAGCGTGATCTTATTTGACCGTAAGTGGCCTGCGAAGTGGACTTCACATGAAATTCCGCCATGATTCCAGTTCCAAGGGAATGTACACGTTACATTCAAAGTGCATTAAAGTGTGCGAGACGTGAATTTATATTGTATTTATTTACAGATATATTATGTCACACTTCTCTAGTAAGTTTTGTCTGTGTGTGAAGACCGTAGCACAAATCTGTGAATGAATGTTCCGAAGTGAAATAAACTTCAACGGAATAAAGTTGAATGGAATTTAATTGAATTAAAGCTGAATAAACTTCAACTTTACTGTTCAGTGCACTGATGTCAGACACATTTTGGATAATAAAATTTATTGTTAAATTGTTAAATACCCTGCCTCCATTACGTATCTCTGTCACGTCATTATAAGTGTTTGATCACCACATTTGAGTGATCATTGCAAAAAATGTGTTTATGTATATACAGTGGTGTGAAAAAGTGTTGGCCCCCTTCCTGATTTCTTATTTCTTTGGATGTTTGTCACACTTTGATGTTTCAGATCATCAAACAAATTTAAATATTAGTCAAAGATAACACAAGTAAACACAACATGCTGTTTTTAAATGAAGGTTTTTATTATTAAGGGAAAACAAAATCCAAAACTACATGGCCCCGTATGAAGAAGTGTTTGCCCCCCCTGTTAAAACTGTGGTTTATCACACCTGAGTTCAATTTCTCTAGCCACACCCAGGCCTGATTACTGCCACACCTGTTCGCAATCAAGAATGTAGTTTTGGATTTTGTTTTCCCTTAATAATAAAAACCTTAATTTAAAAACAGCATGTTGTGTTCACTTATGTTATCTTTTACTAATATTTAAATTTGTTTGATGATCTGAAACATTAAAGTGTGACAAACATGCAAAAAAATAAGAAATCAGGAAGGGGGCCAACACTTTTTCACACCACTGTATATTCTGTTTATATATATACTGTATTCTATATATAGTACCAGTCAAATGTTTGGACACACGAATGGGAAAGTGTCCAAACTTTTGACTGGTACTGTACTATAACATACACAAAGAATATCGATATGAAATTCAGGCCCTGAATAAATGTCTAAAAATCCTGATTGAAGTATCACTATAAATAGTTATAAATTATAAAAAGAAGGCTTTAAAAAGATCGGTATCGGCAGATACTGCTTTCTGTGATCGGCCTCAAAAATCATGATCGGAGCACCCCTACACGATTGTGATAGAGAATAAGAAGCTTACGTCTGATTTCTTCAAGCGGCCGTATTTACCATGTTTACTATGGTAACGTTAATGGCTAACGTTAGAGCGGCACGATTAATCGTTAAAAGATTGCGATCTCGATTCAGACAACCACACGATCTCATTTCTAAATGACAACGATTCTCCCGTGTCTATTAAACCTTTGACAAAATCTTACCGGATCATTCAAATCTGCGTTCGCACTGCGCTGACACACAGAGAGCAGTTACCATGTTTGGTTAAGAAACAGCTTCACAAACAGTCTTTTCAACTACACAGTATTATTTCTGTCGTACAGTCATTCATATTATCACAGAAATACTGGCATGAAAGTTTATAATTCAGATAGAAACATTGTCTATGGTAGCACGACCAAAATAGAGCAAATCCGCATTTGGAAGTAACTGCCACATAACGTTTGTGTCGATTGCATTGTTTCGCCACTAGGTGGCGAAAAGTGACTTAAAAAATGTATAATTGAATGAATCATTTATTCAAGAGAATCGTTCAAAAACGCTGATTCATCCAGTAGGTTTATGAGTGAGTCGTAGAATCATTGATTCAAACAACTTTTTCATACTTTTAATATTAAATTGGTATATTAAATATATTATATTGTAAATACATATACACTACCAGTTTTTGAACCATAAGATTTTTTATGTTTTTTTTTTAACGAAGTCTCTTCTGCTCACCAAGCCTGCATTTATTTAATCCAAAGTACAGCTAAATATTTTTACTATTTAAAATAACTTTCTATTTGAATATGTTTTAAAATGTAATTTATTCTTGTGATTTCAATGCAACATTTATCTGAAATATAAATATTTTGTAACATTATAAATGTCTTTATCATCACTTTTAATAAATGTAAAGGATCTTTGCTAAATAAAAGTATTAATTTATATAATTAAAATATAATATATAAAAATATATTCAAATAGAAAGCAGTTATTTTAAATAGTAAACATATTTCACAGTATTACTGCTAGTAATAAATGCAGGCTTGGTGAGCAGAAGAGAATTCTTTAAAAAACATCTTACTGTTTAAAATCTTTTGACTGGTAGTGTATATTAAAATGTTTAATAATTCATTCAAATTAATTAAACACTTTTAAATAGACTGCAGCAATAATATTTTGCCATACATTATTTTGTTTAGTTCAGAATCATGATCTCTATTTGAGAGAAAAAAAAATTGTGATTCTCAGTTGATCCAGAATCGTGCAGCTCTAGCTAATGTGCAGTTTTTTGCATCACTTATTAATATTTATGCCTTGTATGGTAATCATAATCCACATCGGATTAAGTTATTTCAAACACTAGCTGCTGTCTGAAAGTGAGTTTTGAACAAATTATTTTAAGTCTTTAATGCTGGTGTTAGCTGTTAACTTTCGGAAATGATCCGCGGCGCTGACGCTCTCCAGACGCAGAGAAACTCCGCCTTCGTTCATAACCACTCCTCTAGCCCCAGCTGGCCCGCTTTGGCCCAAGGTTTTTATCGGGCCAAAAAACCCGGGCTGTTGGCCCCGAGGAAGCACCGACGAGTCACGATCAAGCCCCAGAAGTGACAGTGGAAATGCGACTGGCCCTGGCACGCACTAGCACGCCCGCTTTTGGACCAACAGTGGAAACGCGGCTAATGTACTCACTCTCAGAACTGGAGTCGGAGGAGCTGTTCTCGTCCTCTTGCACAGGTACGCTGATGTCTTGAAAGTCCTCTCTCCGCTCTGTGAAACACTCACATTCCAGGCAGCGTGTCCGCAGCACCAGCTGACCCTGGAACATCCACTTCAGCACATCCAGGCCTGATTGCTCTAATTACACAACATTGACAAATTCTTTAGTTATACAAGTTATTGATCACAAATTTCACACATGACATGGAGGAAATTATATATATATATTATATATATATATATATATATATTAATGTGGTCCCAAATTAAGAATTTGTTCCCTCGTTTCAGTAAATTGTGGCTACGTTGTACACATTTTTTCCAGTTTTTTATTAAATCAAAACAAGAGAACAAATTGGTACAATGTGGCCGCGATTTACTACAGCGAGGGAATTCATTAGGTTGTGGGAACAAATTCTCAGTTCGTGGCCATAATTTAACTAAAATTAGGGGAGAAATTCTTCATTCGTAGCCACAATAAATATATTTTTTGTCCACATGTCATGTGCAGGGCTCCATTCAAATTACAAAAATAAATACAATTTAAAAAGCTAGATGTTTCATTTTGTAACGTTTGTAATTTCTCAGTTTACACCTTTTTACCATATATATTACCATAATTTACAATCTCAGTTCCAAAATATACATTTGGCCAGTTAATAGAACACATTTTATATTGTCGAATAATTAGTAAAATAAATATTTAAATGTTAAATATTTATTTGCTATCATTTAATTGTATACTATATGCATTACTTAAAAAAATAAAAAAAACTCACTAGAGGAGAGGATTTGATCACAATTTTGTGCAAGATATTTACCTTTATTCTTTCCCAGACTCGGTTTAACTTCTTGAGTTCTGCTCTCATTCTCGGAGGTATCCTTCTCCTGCTTCTCTTGGACACTACAATCTGATTTCTCCTTGGTCTCTCCTCTCCCTCCCACATGTGAAGTAATTCGCCCCATGCTGCGGAACTTCGAGAAGATGCTAGGCTGCTTCCCAGATGGCTTCAGCCAGCCCAGCTTCCCTCTCCTTGTCCTCTTGCCCACCTCTTTTGGGGTACTGTCATTCTTCTCCTCCTCTGTGGTGCTCCCTCTGTCCTTCTCTTGCTCGTTTTCTTGCTCCTCTGTTCCATTCCTCTGGTCAGAACTCTCTGTGGTTATATCACTGGAGGACTTTCGTTTAGAGCGGGTCATAGGCACATTTTCCTCATTTTTCTTTGATTTGCTTTGAGATTTTGGCTTTTTCTTAGCATTGCCTGCTTCCGTGTCACTCTTTCTCTTTCCGCTCAACTGGCCATCGGAGCTCCCATCATCCTCGTGGGTGGACTCCCCCATTCCATTACTTATTGTGCTGTCTTTCTGGTTGTCTGTTTGGTCTTTTTTGATATTGTCAAAGGCCTCCTGGATGTTAGCAAGGATGCACTGCAGCACCTCCTGTGCATCATGCTGCAAGTAACCCTCATACATTGGATTAAGCTGCCTGCAATGGAGAGATCAAACAGGTTTGTTTGGAAACTCATAAAAAAAAAAAAAGACTCCCTAAAAACTCCCTGAGAGGTTTAAATGTATTTTCAATGTTCCTGAATGATGCTCTGGCCCACAGTATTACCTGAGTGTGTTAAGCACCTTGCGAGGTGGTGTGGCAAGCTCTCCGTCACTGTATTTTTCCGTGTTAAGCAGGAAACTGGATTGCAGCTGTTCCACAGAAGAGATGAGGCTGTGGAAACTACTCAGCAGCTCCATGGGAACAGGTAGGGTGTTTCCACCAGTGTCCCCCTGATAACATAAAAACATGCAATGTTTAATGCAATCAATTACAATAAAGGAAACAATTTTAACATGCCAAATTATTCTGTACATTTACTCAATTAGCATTTTTTTCCCCGCTAAATGGAAACTATTAGTTAGTAACTTTATTCATCCCCTTGGGGAAATTTTGTTTCAGTGACTTGTTTCAATATGCGGCTCTTACAAAAGACAATACAACATAAATATTTACAGTAGAACAATACAATTTCACAACAATTGATCAAGAAATGCTAATACTGAATGCGACCTGCTCACATAGAGAAGGGGAAGAAGAAAAAAAAATCTTCTTTCCTATCTTTCATTTAAAGGGGTGGTTCATTGCGATTTCACTTTTTTAACATTAGCTAGTGTGTAATGTTGCTGTTTGAGCATAAACAACATCTGCAAAGTTACGAAGATGAAAGTTCAATGCAAACGGAGATATTGTCTTTTGAAATTCTGGCAGTTTAATGCCTACAAAAACGGCTGGTAGGGACTACAACAAGTTACTTCCCGGGTTTGTGACGTCACAAACCCAGATAAACCCCGCCCTCGGGAAAAGGCAACAAATGGGGCGAGGCCATGCTGCGCTGCTTCTGAGAAGAGGAAGAGAAAAACTAGGGGTGCACGTTAATATATATATATATATATATATATATATATATGAATCGCGATTCTGTCTTCTAACGATTCTAATGGATTCACAAGTTTCAAAATCAATGTTCTAATGCAGTGGTTCTCAATACTGTTCCTCGCGTTCCCCTGCTCTGCATCTCTCTCTCTCATTCAGCTCAGCAATGAACTGTTCAAATTATACACTTATTTTCACATAGCTATGAGAAGCGTTAAACATAGAAGCACGTGCAGTTGTCATACCGTATTAAAGCTTTAATCAGGATAAAACTGTATATTAAAAGCTAACATAAGCTGTAGCATTTTCAAAAAACAAAGTCTCTAAAAGTATGAGACAACAACAAACAAAAAACATAGGCCTACCATTAAAAGCCGTGCTTGCACAGTTTCTGCACGATCCTCTTCAGTAATATCCTCTGCTTCTCAATCGGGCTCAAACTGATAAGCGATATTAATGACGCTGTTGTTTACAATACAACCAGAGCACATGCCGCTGAGGTGAGGGGCGGGACGTTTAGAAGCGCACTAGAGACGATTGAGCCAATCACAACACACTGGGCTAGCTAACAAATCAGAGCCCATCGTGTATTTCTGAGGGAGGGGCTTCATATAAGGAGGAAATGATCAGCGTGTTTAGAGGAGAACGGACAGAGTGGTGTGGAATAAAGGTAAATTATGTGAAAAAATAATGCGTTTTAAAAAAAACGAAGCATTAACACATGTTAGACTGCACCCAATAAACACAATCAAGCCTAGAAAAAAAAAAAGTGAACCACCCCTTTAAGAACTTCACTGCCTGTGATATAAAAGATTTTTTCCCCCTATTTAAAAAACACCGGTATTCTAAATCTTCTACCTGAAGGCAAAAGCTCAAATAAATTAGTACTGATATATATTTACATGCATAAGCGACACAAAGGAAAACACCTCTTAAAAGATTCAATTTACCAACCTCATTTTTGGCACCATCTTCTTGCTGTTTGTCGTTCAGCTTAGCCAACTGACACAAAGATTTGATGGCCTCTTTAAAACCAGGACAGTAATATAAGACCTGAAATTTGTAAGAAGGGTAAAACTTTTAAACCTATTAAAAATTTAATAGGATCCAAACTACTGTAATGTTTTGTGTGTGTATATATATATATATATATATATATATATATATATATATATATATATATATATATATGCTGTTTTATATTCGAAGGACGCAGTCGGTATACACTGTTATTAGTGATGTCAAATTTAAAAACGTCCATGCCAGAAACTACAACATAACTCATAGCTAAAACATTAAAAAACAATAATAATAACAATAATAAAACATTGAATTCCCGTTTGCTTTTTTTCTAAAATAATCTGAAAATAAATAATAAATAAATATTATGAAAATTGTTTCATATAGGTTTTTTATTTTAATTTTTTTTTAGTAAATGTACAAAAAGTATTTCTTATCGTTCACCAGCAGATGGACATCAAGAACAGTGCATGAGCTAACTGGGACATTCAGTCAGCAACCATCCACATCAGGGGTGTCTGGTCCTGCTCCTGGAGGGCCCCTGTCCTGCAGGGTTCAGCTCCAAACCTCACTTAAAACACACCTGAACCGGCTAATCAAGGTCTTACTAGGCATACTAGAAACTCCCAGGCAGGTGTACTGAGGCAAGTTGGAGCTAAACTCTGCAGGACACCGGCCCTCCAAGACCGAGTTTGGACACCCCTGATCTATATCTACTTTATTTCTTTTTCTCATATTCGAAATAGGCCTAGTTCTACGTGATACATATTTACAAATAATACTCACATTTTTTTTCCACTCAACTTTTTTCCCAATATTAAGATTGTATTTTAAAATTTATATGAATTACAATCGAAAGTGTAACAAATTAATCATTAAAGTTTAATATAAGACATCAAACTACTGTATGCATAACAATGATAAAAGAAAATCATGTGTAGAATAGTGCTGTATGGAGTGTAGCAGATTACACAACTAGACACAGCTGTCACTGCAGTGGAATGTCATTTCACCTGCCATGTACATATTGTACCGAGGCATCTAATCTGCAGATGTGCTTGAGGAGGATGATCTCAAACAACTCAGATCACATCTGCTGATCATTTGGATCTACTTACTTAGAACATTATTTCTCTCTGTGTGTGTGTGTGTGTGTGTGTGTGTGTGTGTGTGTGAGTGAGAGAGAGAGTATATGCACCTTTATGTAAAAGAGACTCAGGGTTGTTGTCAAAAAGGTTGTATATCAGTAACCACACTAGAATGCATTCAGGCAAATTGTGGTTGAACTGACAAGAATATCTGAGGTTGAGGCAAGTAGTCATATATGTTTAATATCTTGTATGTCTGTGCAATTTATTAAATGGCATAAAATGTCATTAATTTATAATTATAATTATTTTATTGTTAATATTATTTTTATTGTTTTTCTTTTAATGTAAAATATAAAACAATGGCTTGACTTTTTTTGTGTTACCTTACATCTTTTCTTTTTTTTGAATCATTGTTTTTCCATTTCAATTTACAAACAGAAACTACCTCAACAATATTTATGCATTAATATAGTGCATATGTATTATGCATTAATAAAATGCAATAAGTATTCATTGGATTGTGACAACTAGCCTGTTCTCCCCCTATAAGCCAAATATAAACTCTTGTATTACTGTGTACTTGTATCTGTGAATGTAGAAACCTGAAGAAATGCAGCTCTTTTCATTCCCCTACAGTGTTAACCGTGAATCAGTGCAGAACGCAGTCACTGTCAGAGGAAAAACAGCCCTGGGAAGGAGCTTTTTAGCCTGGAAATGCAGAGAAATAGACCAGCGCACTCAAAGAATGAGAGGCATGTCCTGCACTCTTTTTAGCCCCAGCTGAGCTGTGTGCTGTTTTTTAAATCACTTTACCACTCTAAGCCTACCTCAGTGTCAGTGATACACAATACACTCCAGCTGGATCACACACACACACACACACACACAGATTATGTCAGTACTTGAGGCAGAGCTCAAGTAGCATACATATAGGCAAAGTGGTTAAACACCAGTTTAATCTTTTATCAGTCAGCTGTACTACTTTAATCCTAAAGCATTTGAATGTGATGCAGAAGCTAGATGGGAGGTGTTGGCTGCTGCTGTGTGTGTTTGTGTGTCTGACCCTCTGACTTCCATTGGATGAGCTCTGCAGGAGGGGGTGTGTTCAGGCTCACAGTATAGCGCTTGTTATGAGAGCCTTCTGCCGTCCCCTTCCACAAACCTCAGTAACAACCATATCGCAACCTCCGAGGCTGAGTGTGTGTAGGGGAGTGAGGAGTGCCTCTACCGCCGTTGCAGCTGGTTGCGGCTTCCTCCCTGTGCTGGATTTCCTTGAAGGTCTGCCTCACCTCTGCAGTGCCTAGGAAAAAAATAAGCCCCCCCCCAGAGACTGAGGTAAGTGATGTGAGATAATACATTCCATGTCTGTCAGCTCCATTATTCAACTTTTCTCTTGTTTACCTTTGGAAAGTGCAGCACACCTCTATAGATCCCACCCACCATCCCTTAAAGCCACCCTTTTCATTTCTTGTTGAGCATTTCAGGTCGTTCTTCTTATTATGTGCTGTTCTTCTAGTAATAATTCAATATTTCTAGATTGGACTACATCCTTCATTGCAGACCGTGGCTGTTTTTATAGTAATGCCACCTTGATAGCATTTCTGGCCATCATAGACACCTAAATGCTGTGTAGGTGGGCAGCCCATGTCACTGTAGCACAAATCATCTCATCTCGCGCTTGGCTGTGCCGTTTCAGTTTACCTCCCCGCTGGGTTGTCGTAATGTCGAGCAGCGTGTCAATCTGGCAGAGACACGCGAGGAGGGAGCGATGCGTTTACCCGTGCCGTTGTGCAGCACTGCGCTCGTGACGCTGGGCTGCTAGAGCTCGCGCGTCCGCAGTGCTGCTCAATAGCTCAGGCTTGGTTATTTCGCGAAGGTGTCTGGCTCATTTGCAGCGACCCAGAGACGGTGAGCTCAGCTGGTCGAGATCTCTGTGATATCCTGCGATGCCCGAGGCGAGATCCCAGCTGCCATGTAGAAAGGTTCCTGTTTGATTCGCGTGCATAGCGCGCTTTCCTGCTTGTTTCAGGCGCAACCGAGATAGCGGGTTTTGCATTCAGATGCTATGGTCGTTGGTCACTGTGCATGTATTTATACTTTACACATGTAAGCTGCTTAATTAAGCAAGGCATTTTCTAAACTGTAAATTGACTGTAGCAACACGAATAGCTTACTGTTCAATCAGTTTCTACAGAAACAAAACAGAGTCCAAAAATTATTCACCTGTTCACCTGACGTTGAATTACTGAAATAAATGAACTTTTCCATGACATTCCAATTTATTGAGATGCACCTGTAGACAGTCAGTTCCTTCTCACAGCGTGGAGATTATGGAGCATATGTGGGGGAGGGAGTGTCAAATTCCCCTAATTAAGGCATGTACCCCACAAAACCAATGGTTTGGGGATCTTAGTAAAACCTCTTTATTAAAACAAGCATGCACATGTTTGAACAGGCTTTTCAAACATTTAGATAAAGATAAAAGTTAGAATAGAGCTGCAAGCGGCAATCATCTGGGTGAAACACCAATGGTTCATGTGGATGATTATTAGTGATTTCAGTGTTGTTGTTTTTTTACTGTAAAGTCCGTATTGAATCTTCACTGATAATTAGAAAAAAAAATTGCTGAATCACATGTCATAGGACAGTTTCAAATGAATATGAAGATATCATTTGAAGCTCAAAACTTTATTTATCTTAATGTTATTTTTATTTTTATCATAAATTTTTTTATCATATATTTATCTTAATGTTCTTTTTATTTGTATCATTTATTTTTTATCATACGTGTGGCCCACTAGCCTTTTAATCATTGATGGGCAAACTTGGCCCTTCCAGGCCACTTTCCTGCAGAGATTTGATCCAACCCTGACTCACCTGCCTGTAGCCTTCTAGTAGTCTTGAAGACAATGATTAGCTGGTTCAGGTGTGTTTGATTAGGGTTGGAGCTAACCTCTGAAGGAAAGTGGCCCATGTTTGCCCACCCCTGCTTTTAATGGATATATTTGTGTAAACCAGGGGTCACCAAACTCGGTACTGGAGGGCCGTTGTCCTCCAGAGTTTAGCTCCAACCCTAATCAAACACACCTGAACCAGCTAATCAAGCTCTTACTTAAACTTGAAACTTCCAGGCAGGTGTGTTGAGGCCAGTTGGAGCTAAATTCTGCAGGGCACCAGCCCTCCAGAACCGAGTTTGTTGACCCCTGGTGTAAATTCTAAAATGTCATGTTTTGTTGAATTTAACCTAAAACAAACAAACAAACCAAAAAACTTTTCCAAATAAACCATGTAATTTTAGACAAATTATAATATTGTAAAATAGCTACTGCAATGCAGAAATACTACACAGAACAAATTGTTATATTATTTCAGATAACATGCCAAGCTTTCTGTATATGCTTGTGGTCTATGCTTGCAGTGTTTGTTTGTTATTATTCATACAACAACACTAAATACATATATTTATATAAATATTATAATATATATCATCCTAAAAGAAAGTAATCCAATTTAACAAATAGTGTTAAAAAAAATCAAAAAAAAAAAATTGCCAATAAATAAAAGCAACATATTTAATCATGTCTAGCAACTTAACAAATATGTTTTCAATATTATTGGGATCTGTAATATTTAAAATAAATTCTAGTAGCATGTCAACAGAGTTGGTAAACTAATAGGCTACTAGTAAAATAATTATATAAAACTATATTACCAGTGCACCAGAGTTGTGCACATGTATTTGTGCACCTACAAATGAACTTGTTCTAGGCATTTATTTATCATTCAAACTAATGGAAACTGATATCTCTGATTTAAAAGATTTCTTATTTTGCAAGTCACAGCTTTCAGCTTTCAGTTAAAATGGCTGATATTTTAGGGTTTACTATTAGCCCTCCCAATGTAATTTGGTGTGCTTCTGAAAAATGTCATGTGGTCTATGTGCATCAAATTTTGTTAAGGTTGGACATTGCATTCAGAAGATATAGGTCAATTCATGAAAAATGAGCAACACCAGGCATTTGGTTCACTAATAATTTTGCAATGCTTTGACAAATCAAAATTCTTTTGATAAGTTTTTGCAAGCACTATCACTGGCTGCTGTGTGCCTATAATTTGGTTAAGATCAGACCAACAGCCTATAGGAGGAGGTAAAAAAAAAAGTGTTCTAGAAAATTCAAATTGGCGGGAAACCTTTCAAAGTAATGATCCAAAATGGACATTGCCTTATTATAGCACCACCTAGAGATGGATGATGTGTGTGCCTGAGTAGCGGTTGACGACTGAGATCATCTGCCAAGTTTGGAGTCTCTAGGATTTACAGTCTTTAACGCCTATATGCTTTCAGGGCATTCAGGTGAGTCATTAAAAAAGCAAACATTTTCTTTATTAGTCATTGCCAATAAATAAAAGCAACATATTTAATCATGTCTAGCAACTTAACAAATATGTTTTCAATATTATTGGGATCTGTAATATTTAAAATAAATTCTAGTAGCATGTAAACAGAGTTGGTAAACTAATAGGCTACTAGTAAAATAATTATATAAAACTATATTACCAGTGCACCAGAGTTGTGCACATGTATTTGTGCACCTACAAATGAACTTGTTCTAGGCATTTATTTATCATTCAAACTAATGGAAACTGATATCTCTGATTTAAAAGATTTCTTATTTTGCAAGTCACAGCTTTCAGCTTTCAGTTAAAATGGCTGATATTTTAGGGTTTACTATTAGCCCTCCCAATGTAATTTGGTGTGCTTCTGAAAAATGTCATGTGGTCTATGTGCATCAAATTTTGTTAAGGTTGGACATTGCATTCAGAAGATATAGGTCAATTCATGAAAAATGAGCAACACCAGGCATTTGGTTCACTAATAATTTTGCAATGCTTTGACAAATCAAAATTCTTTTGATAAGTTTTTGCAAGCACTATCACTGGCTGCTGTGTGCCTATAATTTGGTTAAGATCAGACCAACAGCCTATAGGAGGAGGTAAAAAAAAAAGTGTTCTAGAAAATTCAAATTGGCGGGAAACCTTTCAAAGTAATGATCCAAAATGGACATTGCCTTATTATAGCACCACCTAGAGATGGATGATGTGTGTGCCTGAGTAGCGGTTGACGACTGAGATCATCTGCCAAGTTTGGAGTCTCTAGGATTTACAGTCTTTAACGCCTATATGCTTTCAGGGCATTCAGGTGAGTCATTAAAAAAGCAAACATTTTCTTTATTAGTCATTGTGTATTCGTTTATTATAGATTTGCAGATCACGAGTATATCATAAAAAACATGTTGTAATCTCTAAAGAATTTATTTAGCTAACTGCAGAGCCTAATTTGTGTTGTGCAATACAGACCTCCACCAATTGCATGCTATCTTTACAAAATTGCCTTTACATTTTCATTGTTGACCTGAGCTAAAAATTACTCTAAAAAGGTGAAATTATCAACCCCCTTGCAAGTCTTTGTATAATTGGCCCACTGCCTTTTCACATGTAATGTCTCCCTGAGAGCCTACAGGCTGTTTGATGTACTCCGGAATGCCGAGGTACATTAAACATGTGACCTAAGGGCCACCCAGGAGCTCTGACTCCCTAAAGAGTGCAAGTTTACCATCACTCTGGGGTTTGCAGAAATATTGAGCCTTTCTGTGATTTTGCTGGTCCTGTGTTGTTTCAGCCCAAACACTTTTTTTTTTTTGACAGGTTTTTATCCATAAATTTCCAAATACAGCTGGTCAGAAGCCACCGCATGTCACTTATTGTGATGAAGGCCAATTTATTTATTCATTTGTTGCATTTAGCTATACATTTTTATATTATTTAAACAAAATAGTTCCACTTTCACAACGAAACACAGCGTCTTCACAACATGGCGGCGGCGGCAACAACAATACTACAGCGAGAATAAAAGTTACGCCTTCTTTCTTTGCGTGAACATTTGGGCGGTGTTATGCAAATCTTCCCACATCGTGACGTAGACATGTGGGGGCGTGTTAGAACGAGCCGTTTTAGGTAGGCGTGGTTGACTCTTAACTTTTGTAAAGAATATCTCTTTGGATTTGAGACTTTAGTCTTTGCAGCTTTACAGATATTCTTTTTGTACCAAGAGCTTGTAACACTCCAAAGAGAAAGGAAAAATTGAAATCGCATCATATGACCCCTTTAAAGTAGCAT